GGTGAGCAGTGAGCTGAGGAGCTGCCCCCCTTCCCAGCTCTGGGGCTGTCAGCAGGGAAAGAGCTCTGGGGCTGTCAGCTGCATCAGCCCAGCCCCAAACGTGGAAAATTAACCATAGGGAACGCAAGTTCCCTAAGGCACTCTTTCTTTCTTTCTTTTTTTTTTTTTTTAAGAGCACCTTCATTTGATACCTCATTTGAGGAAGTTTAATTTTTCAGACAATCTGCCACTTTAAAAGCACTCTGCTATCATGCACTTATGTCATGGTATGGCTGTAAAGTGCTTTCAGGGGTCTGATTGTGCAAAAAATTTAACTTCTGTCTGCACCCTGGGTCTCAGGGGTGACTGGTGCCTCCTGAGTCTGGGGGGGGGACAATTTGTGGGTGGGCCCGGGGGCAGGCCAAAAGCCCCATATCCATTCCTATACTTCTGTGCCATGGCTTAGTGCCCACTCCCCTCCTTCCCCCACCCAACATGCCACCGACCCACGCAGCAAAAAAACTGCCCTATCCTGAGTGGTGCCAAGTCAGAGGCCAATCTCAGGAGGGGTATATGCCCTCCCCCCCGGTGCCCTCCATACCAGTTGCCTACGCTGGGTCTAGTGCTTTTATATATTCATGTAGTAATGCTTAGGTTTTCTTAGGCAGGAACATTGATAGAGAGACCACTCCTCTGTCTCTGAATCTCTAAAATGGGTCAAGTAGCATTGGTAGGAAAAGCCATGAGCCTGCTTATTATTCAGAGTGGGATGCAAGGTTTTTCATCTACACTGCAATGGATAATACCCTGAGTAGGTATACTCTGATTTGCTGTGAGAATGCTACTCACACCCATGTCCAGAACAGACAGATTTTTATTTTTCAAAGTACACCGTAAACATGTGGAATATTGCAACTTTAAGTGTCAAGAAAGATGCAAGAGAGTCAAATGAGGGAAGGACCTTCACTTGAGACAGAACTGTGATAGTGTGCCTGCTATAACTTGAGAATGGCTAAAAGTTAGCTTTTGTGGTACAGCCATGGTTCTCAAGCAAGATTGCTGAGATATACCAATCCAAGCTAACAATGACCAGAAGCCAAGACCTGTAGTCCAAAATAGGTTTATATCTAGTTGATAGGGCTGTGCAAAGCTTCAGGTGCTGATTAGATTTGGAGGCAATTTGGCCCAATTCAGCGGCCGAATCTCCAAATCTGAATTGATTCAGGGGACCAATTAAAAAGTTCAAATCAATTCAAAGCTCTCTGAATCAATTTGAAGAGCTTCGGTGATTCAGGCAGTCCCTGCTGGCTGCAGCAGGGAGCTGGACCTGGACTTCATGCTGGTAA